TGTGATTGACTTATTTCACTCAGCATAATGTCCTCCAAATTCATCCACATTATGCAGTGTTTTGCAGATTCTATATTATTCTTTAGTGTTGCATACTATTCCATTGTGTGTATCTATCCGCTTCTTTTCATCTCAATTCCAATCAGCCTATTAAAGAGCCCTTGGTCTCTTGCTAGTACTCCAATAGCCTAAGGGGTGGTCCCCATACTTCAACTTTTGGTTACTTACAATCTGACCTCCCTATTAGAGCCAAAATTATTTTCTGAAACATAAATCAAATTACCAGTTTGAGTCCAAAAGGTCAACAATTACTCAAAAACAAAAATGAGAAGAAAAGCAGGCACGGAAACTACAGTACTGGAAAGAAAACAAACTGAAGAGAATGTTAACAAATTGTGATGTACATAACTAAAGTCACTGAACAACCTGTGTGTAAATTATCAAATGGGAACTTAAACTTGCTGTGTAAACTTTCACCAAAAAATTCAATACTATTTTTATAAAAACACATAAATCAGATCATGTTATTTTCCTGCTTAGTACTATGCGCTGTAATTTGAGTAATTCAAACTCCTTATCACAGCCTACAAGGCTACATATGATTTGAGCCCTATCTCTCCAAAATCAATGTGCACCACTCTACCCCTCAGCTACTCCACTCCAGCAATGTTGACCTCTTTTCAGATCCTTGAACATACCAAGAAGCTCTCTGGTGGTGTAATGGTTAAAACCACTTGGTTGCTAACCAAAAAGGTCACCGGTTCGAACCCACCAGCCACTCTGCTAGAGCAAGATGAGGCAGTCAGCTTCCATAAAGATTTACAGTCTTGGGAACCCTATGAGGAAGCTCTACTCTGCCCTATAAGGTCACTATGAGTCAGAATTGATTCAATGGTAGTAGGTTTGAACACACCAAGTTACTTCCTGCCTTAAGGCCGTCACACATGTCACTCTTTCTGCCTGAAATGATCTTCCTTTCCCTCTTTAAGGTCTGGGCTTAAAACTTTACATTCCAAAACGGAACTCCCTGAGAACCCTCTTGAAATCCAATACTTTCTTTCACAGCACTCAGCATAATTTGACATTATACATCTGTTTCCTTGCAGATGTGTTTTTCAACAAAGCATAAGAACCTTCCATACTAAGAATTCAACTAATATTTGTAAAATAAGTAAATAAATAGTTATTGCCATTACTAAAGCAAATTAATTTTAGTTAAATAATATGAAGAAGACTGATAGAGATTAGAACACATAATAATAATTGTATAGAATTATTTAGTCTACTATGGTTCATAATACTAAACAAAATAATCTTTATGAACTGAATTTAATGTTTAGCTATTTAATTCTACTTTTTTTGTTGTTGTTGTTGTTATGTGCCCTCAAGTTGGACCCAACTCATAGCGGCCCCTCCTTGGGTTTCTGAGGCAGTATCACTATGGAAGTACATTGCCCAACCTTCCTTCTAAGGAGTGGCTGGTGGATTTGAACTGCCAGCCTTTTAGTTAGCAGTCAAGTGCCTTAGGCACTATGCTACCAGAGCTCCTTAATTCTACTTAGGCAATAAAAATATTCAAAGAAATATCTTATGTGGAAATTCAAGAATTTGCATTATTAACAATAGTACTATATATAGCCATTCCAAGTAATCTAAATTTGATCATATACTCAGTGACAAATCTTTAAGTATTTTAGACAGCAGTCTAGTCATCCTGTCTCTAGTTTCACCCCATCAAAATTATTTCCCATTTTACAAGTTGGAATTATGCTTTTGCAAAATATTTCAGACCAACTTACATCATGAAAAGATGAATTAAAAAGAGAATGTTAAATCTACCATGTCAAAATCTCATGAGGAGGAAAAACACCAAAATCAATGATAAATCATCTTTGATCCAGACAGAAAGAATATGGAGAAAAGTACTCCCCTAAATGTTTTGTCCTTCCACTAACCTCAGTTCAAAGTGAAATCCCACTTGTTATAACAAATGTACAATAGAGCGAGCACAGAATAAGGTAACAGTTGTCGAGTGCTGAGAAATCAGTGGGGTTCTGTGCTATAATTTCAAACATTAAAATTAAAAATTTAATAATGATAAATGTTTGTAGGAACAACACTCTAGTATCCCAGAAGCCCATTCTAAGATGGTGATAATTCAGTTTCAGCCAATTATTGATTCTAATACTGGATGAGTCAGTCTAAATATATCTGATGCACTCAAAATCAATATATATCTTTTATAGAGAGAGAGGACACTAATTACCATCAAATAAAACTCGGAGAATATTATATACCTGTCTGTGAGAGGTTGGGAGGGCATTCTCTTACTCAGTGATGGAAGATCCAGGGAATCTGGTTTCTTATCCATTCTGCAACATGCTTGGATATTTAGGTACTTAAATATGTGCACTTTACCCTTTAAACATATCTGTTAACAAACCATTGAAAAAACAGACTTAAGTATGTAATGCCAATATAAATGTCATCTATCAATTATTTATATATTTTCATAATCTGAAATTATGTTTAGACATCACAATCTTGGTAGTTTGTATATGTAAACACTTTATAGCTCTGAAAGTAAGTAAAAAGAAATCTGACAAACACTGCAAAATTCCATTGCCATCTCTGTTCTTATTACAAAAAAAAAAACAAATTTTCTATATTTCAGTAAAGGTATCTTGATAAAAGCAAAATTTATAAACCACTAAACAAGATAAAATTTTATAATTCAAGAAAGCTGCCTTTTTAGAGAACAATGAAAAGAAATATATTCATCACAGTGTTGACAACAAATAACATATGTAATACTTAAAATAAATCTCATCATGATCACTAAAGTGTTTGGTATAAACATTAAGAAAAAGATAATCTAAAGAATGTAAACATGGGAAAGTAAATTTATTGGAGGGTGTGAGCATAGACCAGTTAGAGTAAAATAATAAAAGAAAATACTAGTTTATTCAACTAGGATAATATGCTGAAACTATCTTTAGGTTAAGAAAAAGAGGAATAATGAAAGGAAAATATTATGTGAAAGAAAGTATTCTGCATAAAAAAGATGGACAATGATAGATAAGGAAAAGGCAAGTTAGCCTTACAAAGGTTAATTACGGTCACAATGACTGATATCAAATAAATATCTCTAAAAAATTCTAACTAAAAATGTTTTGTTTTATGGGCTCACAGTACAAACTTATAACACAAGCAAAAAATAATCAACAAATTCAAGAGAACAGTAAGGAAACTGCAGTAAAGGCAATTATAATTATGGTGGGAAAAAATGTTTCCTATATAGTACTAATAGATATTAGGTCTGATCTGACCACTGAAAATTTTCAGTTAAGGGGTGTGGATCCAAGATGGAGAATTAGGTAGACACACTACCCAGACCCTCTACAACAAAGATTCAAGAAAACAAGTAAAAAGCCCATAGATGACATTCCTGGAACCTAGAGCTTCAAAGGAAAGGATAAAGACGTATAAAGTAGATCAAATACTGTTAAAAGGAAAGTACTGAACGAAAACCACAAACTAGGAGGCTGTGAACTGCCATGTGGTACAACACAGCCATCCTGAATTATTACAAGCAGTGTTTGATTGGTGTAAGAACCAAATAACCAGCTCTGCTTGCCCAAGACTACACCAACATCAACATAAGTGATCAGCAATCAGAGAGGTGTGATCAACTCACTTACACTGCACAAACTCTTCCCTATGCCCTCCAACCCAGAAGCCAAACACCCCCCCCCCACTGTCAGTGCTGTTCCACTTTCTTTTTCTTTACCTTTCTTCTTAGTTCCTCCTTCTTCCTCCCTTTTGTTCTTTCTCTTACGCTTGGACCTTTTTTCTTTCTGGAGGGATCCAGCTGAGCAGATGCCGACCCTGCACCACCCATCTCCATGATCAGCAGTGGCCACCCTTATGACTCCTTGGATAGGGGTGCGTGCTCTGCCGCAGTTAGCTCCATGTTCCCATCGCAGATTTGTTTCACAGTTAACACTTGCACCAGTACTATGCCACATATTTTTTCTTTTTACCTTTCTTACTTCTTTCCTCATCCTGTCCCCTTGTTTCTTTCTTTTCTTTTTTTCTTCCTCTTACCCCCCATATTTTTTTTATATACTGCAGAGCTGGTGGCCTGCCTCCAGCCACCTCAGCGTTTATTAGCACACACCCTTGACCCTCAGCATTTGGCAGTGTGCCCTCTAATGAAGCAATCACCACATTGCTGCCACAGCTGTGTTTGGTGGCTACTAGCACTTACATCAACAGTGTGCCAGTTTATTCCCCCTCATTTTTCTTTTCCCATTTTTTTCTCTTCAAGGTCTTCCCTCAACCTCCCCACTTTTTTTCCAACTCTTCCACCTTTTTTTCTTCTATCTTTCCCCAGCATTTGGCAGCCAGTGACCCTACTCAGCCATAACCACCAATCCTGCACACCACCTACTGGTTGAGTGACACCAACCACTCCAGAATCACTGGACATAGGACAGATAGCAGGCAACACCCATCCACCCTACCCTCAACTTCACTGCACAATCAGCAATCTGAAACACATGTCCACATTCCCACTCGATTCCAAATAGCCTCAGTGCAGCCAAACTAGTGATCAGAGTAGCATGCCCACCCCATTACCTGAATTATATATAAAACAAAACACAACAAAAAACTCAGGGTGAATCAAACAAACATAAAATCAACAAATTAAAACAATAACACCACAATGGTCTCAGAGAGAGCAGACCACATCAAATCACACACTTACATACACACACACACACACACACACATACACAGGGCAAGATTGCTCAAACCAAAATACAGAGCTAGAAAGTCTTCCAGAGGAAGAAATGCTACTAGAACTACATGAGAAGGAATTCAGAAAATTTATTATGGGTAAGTCCTTTCATCAGATTTAGAAAGAGATCAAGTAAAGCACAAAAAAAATCAAAGAAAACTCTAGACTTCAAGAAAACAATAAAGGAACAAATTAACAAAATAAACAGAAAATTAGAAACCATACAAAAACAGCAAATAAAAATTAGAAGATTCATACTAAAATTTCAAAAATAGATAATGGATTGGAAAGGAAAGGAGTAGAACTGAATCAATGGAGGAAAGTATTAGTGACATTGAAGGCAAATCTCTTAATACTAATTTGGTAGAGGAACAGTCAAAAAAGGACGAAAAACATGAAGAAAACCTAAGACTTATCTGGGATGCCATCAAGAGGGATAACTTGTGTTAGATGGGAATTCCAAAACAGAAAGAGACAAAAAAAAATAGCACTAAGAAAACTATCAAATATCTGTTGAAAGAAAACTTCCCTAATATCATAAAAGATGAGAAGATATGTATACAAGAAGCTCAACCAACTCCAAATTAAAGTTACAAATACATATCAAAATCAAATTTTCTATACCAAGGAAGAAGAAAGAATCCTGAAAGCAGCTTGAGAAAAATGAAAAGTTACCTACAAATGAAAACCGATTAAAGTCTGATTTCTCGGCAGAAACCATGCAGGCAAGAAGGCAACAGGATGACAGATATAAAACCTGGAAAGACAATTTCCAACCAAGATTTATATATCTAGAAAAATTATCCTCAAATGCAATGGTAAAAAACAGAACATTCCCAGATAAACAGAAATTAAAGGAATTTGTAAAAACTTAACACCATCACAAGAAATGCTAAAGGGAATCCTTTGGACAGAGAACAAACAATGGCAGACAACAAACAGATATTAAGATACATGACATCACCAGGAAATCAATCAACCTAGAAATACAAGTGACAAAAATAAAATAAAACTCTAAGATGGAAAATAGGGAATCAGAGATGTCAATCTATAAATAATAATTGCAAAACAAAATGAGGGAATAAATGATGTATTTACAGAAATCACAATGGAGAGAAAGCAAGATGATATAAAGACAGAACAGACTGTTTTAACATTGAGAAGATAATAACAAATTGACTTAAGGCACCTAATGATGAAGGTTGAAGAATACAGTCTGCAGTATGGATTACATCTCAACATAAAGAAAACAAAAATCCTCACAATTGGAC